AGTATCAAAATGGCACCGTTGGAAGCGTTATATAGCAGAGTTTGCAGAACACCGATTTGTTGGGACGAAGTTGATGAGAGGAGCATCACGGGTCCCGAGTTGGTTCAGCAGTCGATGGAAACGGTAAAGATTATCCGGGAAAGACTAAGGACAGTTCAGAGCCGTCAGAAGAGTTATGCGGACCGGAGACGTAGGCCTTTGGAGTTTCAAGTGGGGGACCATGTTTTCCTCAAAGTGTCGCCGATGAGAGGATTATCTCGGTTTGGTAAGAAAGGAAAGTTGAGCCCGAGGTACGTGGGTCCGTTCGAAATCTTAGAGAGAATCGGTACCTTGGCTTATCGTCTCGCGCTACCACCAAATTTTATCTCAAGTGCATAATGTATTCCACGTGTCAATGTTAATGAAGTATGAACCGGACCCGACCCACGTGCTGAATTACGAAGAAATAGACGTGGACGACAGAGTGTCGTACGTGGAAAAGCCAGTTCGGATCGAGGACAGAATGGAAAGAGTGTTGCGGAACAAGAAAATTCCGATGGTCAAGGTGATTTGGAAGCACCATGGAACCGAAGGTGCGACGTGGGAAAACGAAGAGTTGATACGACACCAGTATCCCCATTTATTTGGATAGTTGGGTTGGATTGTAAATTTCGAGGACGAAATTTTTGTAAGGGGGGAAGAGTTGTGACATCCCGAATTTCGGCCCATAGTTGGGATTTATAAAACGTGTAATTCGTCAGTGTGCTTATAGTAAAAATCTCGCCCGGGAACTGATCACTTCCGGTTATTATTTTAAAATTGAGATTTCGCTAGAATCAATCTCGATCGAATTTGGCCGTTAATTAGAACCCAAACTTTGGTGTCGAATTTCTCGGAGTTCCAGGATGAATTTAATTGGACGGTGTCGATATTATTGTGGCCAGCCTTGAGATTGCCCGGAATATGTGAAAAGTGGATTTTTGACCGGATGCGGATTTGGACTAGTAGACCTCCCTCGGGATAGTTTGATTTAATTAATTTGGCCTTTGTTCCTTATTATACTTTAGGATTAATTTGGACCGCTAGATCGTTTTCGGTTTTAAATATAGGCTGTTGGAGACGCTGCAAGGGTATCTCGGAGATCGAGGACGGGGTCAAGTACCCAGTATTTTTTAGTTTCCCTTTTGTAGAGGAGTTAAGTTTGCGAACTATTGTCTCTTTCGAGGAATGTGGTTCTATTGTTATGGCCTAGCTCGGGGATTGTCTTTTTGTGAGCGTCGTATGTATCTGCCAAGTGTAGGAATTACAGTTATTGTTTTATGCTATTGCTACCCCTTGTCATTATTAATTGTCAGGGTTGTTTCTATTTGTTTCCGCGCGTGCCTAATCTCTGATGTTTGGGTTGGGTCGGCGACGTGCCTGGGACGTCGCATTCAATGATCGACCATGGAGGGACGATTGCGCGCTCATAGGGTGGTGGGCGTGACAAAAGAACTCGACCTTGGTTCGACCTTCGACCATAAAGATTGACGAGGGAATGTTTTGGGCCAACAGACACCGATCTATTTGATTGATCGTGTCCGAAGGGCACTAGTGATAGACCCTCGCAATTATATGACAATCGAGGTCGCCTTGATTCGAGTAAACTTAAACGTGATTGGACTTAGTGTCGATCACGGGTCGAGAGCGCGTAATCCCAACGAGTCACCCGTTAGCAAGAGATAAGCTAAAGTCGCGATTGTTCGATTTTAGTCATTTCTTGGAATTCGGGCCCGGGAATCGAGAATTTTGAAAGTGACAATTTTGAGCGGCAGATGACGTTTTTGGCTTTGCCAACCTTGGGGCCACCCATTTCTCCAAAAAAAATGGATTTTGGTTCGGGATCGGAAAAATTACGATTTTGCTCCTCGGGACCCCGACGTTGATTCTGAGGCCGTATGAGATTATTTTTCGAGGCCGATGTCATTTTAGGGTGGCCACGAATATTTGGAGTTGTTACAGTAAAAAATTGAAACTTTGGCTCGGAAGTAAAAAATAATATTATTTTATTCTCCAGGACTTTGCTGTCGATTTTCGAGGGCTTAAGAGGCTATTTTTGCGATTCCGACGCCATATTATGTTGGCTATACCCATTTGGGGTTAATACGGGCGAAAAATGGAATTTCGACCCGAGACCGGAAAAATGACCATTTTATCCCTGGCCTATTTTTTGTCCGAATTTTTGGAAAAATATTTGGGATAAGTAAAATTAATTATCAGCTCAATTATTGGACTCAATGACCCTTTTGCCCATCAATTATTAGATTAGGATGAATGAGGACCGTTGGATCGAGGGCAAAATGGGAAGATCGCGTAGGATCGCGACATGTGGCGCCCACCAGCCCCACTATTGACCAGCTTGGACCAGTTTCTCTCTCTCCTCCCCCTCATTCAGCCAACTCTCCCGATCACTCTCTCACTTTCTCTCTCTCTCTCTCTCTCTCTCTCTCTCTCTCTCTCTCTCTCTCTCACACTTTCTTCATTTTCGTTTCCTCCCATCGCCGCCGGGAAGACCGACCAGCCGCCGCTGGAGCTACCGTTCGCCGGAGATGCTGGTCGCCGGCACCGCCTAGTCTCACCACCACCACCCTCAACCCGTCCCCCTACCTCTTTCTCTCTCTCCCTTGTTTTCTCTCTCGCAGCCAAAGGAACGCCGGAGCAAGCCGCCGCCGCGCCAAAGCTCGAAAAGCCTAGCTGTTGCCGCCGTGACCCTCCAGCCGCCCTGTACATCGCCATCCGTACGGTGTCCGTACGCCGCGTCCGTACAGTGTCCGCACGCCGTGTCCGTACAGTGTCCGCACGCTGCGTCCGTACGTCGCCGTCCGTACACCGCCGCCGCCACTACTGCTATTCCGGCCACTACCCAGCCCTATTTGTCTCGCCTTTTAGTGTAAGTGTCTTCCCCAAAAACTACCTAGGACTTCGGGTATCGTAGGACATGTTTAGGGTTCGGTTTAGGGGTTTATGTGGCTGTTTTGGGGGCTGAGATGAAGGCTGGTATTTGGTTGTCGTGGGCTGATTTGGCGAAGAAATTTGTGAGGATTTGGAGGCTCGATGATGGCTGTGATGTGTGGAGCGATCGCGATTAATTTGTGTAATTGATTGGAATTATTGTGGCTTGAATGGGCTTATAGGAATGTTTGTGCTAGTTGTGTTTGTGGACTGATTTGGAATGTGTTCTGGACTGATTGTGGATTGGTGGTGTGCCGTGTGCATATGGCTGTGAGGTGTGGTGGCATGGTAATGTGAATGCGCATTGAGTTCGTGTGCTAAATATGTGTGATCGGGTGGTGTGTTCGTGTGATGAGGACGTGAATTGTGAAATGTGTGTGAAATGTGTATGGTTGATCGTGCGGTTGTTGGCCATGTGTAGAGTGGTTTGAGTGGAACGAGGGTATGGAAATGTAGGATTTGTTAAAAAGGATCCGTCCTGAGGCGTGTACGTTTACGCGGGACGATGCCGTCCCTGACGAGGTGACGATGCTCGGCCCGACGGGGTATCGATGCCTGACGAGGTCAGAAGACCGTTGGCCTGATGCGTTTTACGTGGGCGCGGTAGTGGTGGAAAAGTTGAGAATGAGCGGGAATTGGCTTGAGGTGCGAGGTTTGCGAAAGTGTTGCGTGGTGTGAGTCAGTGTGCGAGTGTATTTGTATCGCGTGATGTGATGCTTAATTATGGGGTAAAAACTGCTAGGCACGGTATGGGACGTGCCCAAGTGGGTTTTATCTTATAATTGAGGCACGTACGCGTCTGTGATTCATTGCTACGATATGTTGGCTGTGTTATTGTCTAACGTGCAGGGACGTGCATGATGGATTCCGGGTAGGGTCGCGTGTGGTTGTTAGTTTGGTTGATTATCGTGTGTTATGCGTGTTTTCGTCTGACGGTACGTGAGTGCCTACGTGGGGTTTGGGGTTGTACACTTATTGAGATTCGTCTCATGGTTGTATAACCACCACTTTCAGACCCGCAGCCGTAAACCTAGGGAGCCCGCTTCCTCTTTTTGAAGTATGAAGAGCAGCCATGGTGCCCGGTGGATTCGCAGGCGATGCCCAAGAGATTTCCGTAGGATCGAGCCAAATGAATTAGGAGCAGAATGGAGAAGGGCGACCCTTAGTTTTTTTCCCTAGGGTATTTTAGGGGTTGTGTAGTTTTGGGTAGACCTATAGTGAAGTTAGGTTAACCAGACCCCTGATATTTTTATTAAGTCGGTGGCTGAGGATGTTTGTCTGTATTTATATCTGTAATAAAATGTTTGTATATTTGGTGTTGTATGATTATGTTGTTGTTTGATCATTATGGTGTTCTACCCTGTTGTCGTCATCTTTTTGTCCAGGGTTTTTAATAGCCGTTTCCGCATGTGGCTCTGATGTTTGGGGTTGGGCCGGCAACGTTCCTGGGACGTCGCATCATATCGACCGCTTCGTGGGATGCTCGCGCTTCGTGGGGTGCGGGGCGTGACATCCCCGTTTGAATTGGTATCAGAGCAGGTTTGCTCGATATCGGTAAGGTCAAGACGTAGAGTGATAAGGAGTGACGACTTCGGGGTAGTCGGTTAGGAAGCCTTTGTAGATTGTATGTTTATGTTGGTTATGCATGTCCTGTGAGTACGCGCCTGTGATTGCTAAGTATTTTATTGTGGTTGTAATGTTGGTTGAGACGAAGGTGCGGCAGGACCGGAGGTGAGTACAAGAATCTTGTCGATTGTTTGGTGATGTTGGCTTGAGGTTATGTGATGGGTTTAATGATTGGGTGTTGGATGTCGAGTGTTGGTTAGTTAGTTTTGTGCCTAGAGCTTGGACTAGTGTAGTTGGCCTAGGTCCCTAATACCAATGTGGACTTATAGCAGGTACGAGAGTGGTAGGAAGCAGATACGATGAGCAGCGAAGGAAGAGGAATAGTAAGAGGTACAAGAAGGGGTGCAGGAAGAGGAGTACGGGGTCGAGGTCGTGCTCGGGCTAGAGCTGTAGAGGACATTGATATGGGTGCTAGAGCGATAGGAAATCCTGGAGTTGGTGTTGGAGTTGCAGTGGACCCCAGAGTTGATGTTAGGCCTGCGGAAGATTCGCGTATGGAAGGAGTCCTCAGAATATTAGAGAGGATTAGGAATATGTTGGACAGGCAAGCTCAAGAGCGAGATAATGCGACCGCCCAGGCTGATGAGGCCGCACCGATTGCTGGTGATGGAGGAAATCAAGCCCAGCAAGGGCAGGCTCAACCAACAGGGGTGAGACAGATGCCCCAATTAGTGGAATAATTTATAAAGTTGAAGCCACCTCAGTTTCATGGTAGTGGTGACCCCGAGACTGCACCGAGATGGGTGGAATCATTGGAGAAAACTTTTAAAGTTTTGGGGTGCACCAATGAAGAGAAGGTAACTTTGGCGGTATATCAGTTACAGGATAATGCCAATGATTGGTGGAAGGCCACAGAAGGCAGAGTATTTCGTGAAGGAACGGCCTCGACTTGGGCGGTATTTATTGAGAATTTCTATGAGAAGTATTTTTCGGAGAACGCCCAAGAAAAGAAGTTGATGCAATTTATGCGATTACGCCAAGGTCAGATGACAATTGACCAATATGAAGCAGAATTTGCGAGATTGGCAAAGTTTGCCCCGACAATGGTAGAAAATCCACGGGATAGGGCTAGAAGATTTCGTGACGGTTTGAAGCCGGATCTTCGGAGTCAGATATTATCGCTCGACATTAAAGATTATGGAAAATGTATAGGCGGGCTCAGATTATCGAACAGGATATGACGGATAGAGCCACTGCGTCTGGATCGCAGTATACCTTAGCCGGGGATGATCGTCAGCAAGGGAAAATACCGATAATGGAAAATCGACGGTTTGTCCCTCCGGCAAGAAGGAGTATTGGGAAATCGGCATATCCGTCTAATTCAGCCTGTAGACTATGTGGGAGAGACATCATGGGAGTGGTCCCTGTACAAGTGTAACTAGGGCATGTTTTTGGTGTGGCGGAATGGGACATCACATAAGGAATTGCCCGAATCTTCAGGTTCGACCACCCCCAGCATCGCAGACACCTCGAATTGGGAATCCGATTAGTACAGCCCCGCCGGCTAATTCGAACAGACCGCCGGCACAAGAACGTGTGTACGCCTTGACGCGAAAGGGAGTTGAGGATGTGTCAAGCGTAACCCCAGGTATGGTTTCCCTATATAGATATGTTGCATATGTTTTAGCGATCCGGGGGCGTCGCACTCAATTGTGTCTACTTGATTTGTTAAATTGGCTGGATTGAAACCGTTTTTGAAGTGCAATTGAGTGTGATTACATCATTGAGGAATAAGATATGCGTGTCGTTAGGATGCTTAGATGGTAATTGTGATTGGTGGTGTAGGAAGCATGATAGATTTGGCTGTATGGACTATGTAGGATTTTGATATTATTGTGGGCATGAATTGGTTAGTCGGACAGAATGCTGTGATGGAATGCAGCATCAGAGTGATTCAGTTTAGTCTTGCTAGACACCCTAGATTTGAGTTTGTAGGAAGTCGAGGAGGGATCTCGAAGCTGTCTTATAGGGCGTCGTGATCGAAATTGGAAGGATTAAACATTCAAATGTAGGAATTATCGGACAAGAGTTTCATTGACAAGGAAGGAAGAAACGTCATCACCCCCATATGTTGGGTAGCTTAGGATAGTTGCAAATTTCGAGGACGAAATTTTTATTAGGGGGGAAGAATTGTAACATTCTGAATTTTCGATCCTTTTCCCGGGATTTAAGAAATGAATATTTTGACCAATGCACTTATAGTGAGATCTCACCCGGAAATGCGCATTCACGGGATGCTAACCTTAGGGGAAAGGCCATTACGGGACTGAGTTCGCACGACCAAAGAACTCGACCTTGGTTCGACCTTCGACCATAAGGATTGACGAGGGAATGTTTTGGGCCAACAGAGACCGATCTATTTGATTGATTGTGTCCGAAGGGCACTAGTGACAGACCCTCGCAATTATATGACAATCGAGGTCGCCTTGGTTCGAGTAAACTTAAACGTGATTGGACTTAGTGTCGGTCACGGGTCGAGAGCGCATAATCCCAACGAGCCACCCGTTAGCAAGAGATAAGCTAAAGTCGTGATTGTTCGATTTTAGTCATTTCTTGGAATTCGGGCCCGGGAATCGAGAATTTTGAAAGTGACAATTTTGAGCGGCAGATGACGTTTTTGGCTTGGCCAACCTTGGGGCCACCCATTTCTAAAAAAAAAATGGATTTCGGTTCGGGATCAGAAAAATTACGATTTTGCTCCTCGGGACCCCGACGTTGATTCTGAGGCCGTATGAGATTATTTTTCGAGGCCGATGTCATTTTAGGGTGGCCACGCATATTTGGAGTTGTTACAGTAAAAAATTGGAACTTTGGCTCGGAAGTAAAAAATAATATTATTTTATTCTCCAGGACTTTGCAGTCGATTTCGAGGGCTTAAGAGGCTATTTTCGCGATTCCGACGCCATATTATGTTGGCCACACACATTTGGGGTTAGTACGGGCGAAAAATGGAATTTCGACCCGGGACCCGGAAAAATGACCATTTTGCCCCTGGCCTATTTTTGGTTCGAATTTTTGGGAAAATATTTGGGATAATTAAAATTAATTATCAGCTTAATTATTGGACTCAATGACCCCTTTTGCCCATCAATTATTGGATTAGGATGAATGAGGACCGTTGGATCGAGGGCAAAATGGGAAGATCACGTAGGATCGCGACATGTGGCGCCCACCAGCCCCACTATTTGACCAGCTTGGACCAGTTTCTCTCTCTCCTCCCCCTCATTCAGCCAACTCTCCCGATCACTCACACACACACACACACACTCTTTCTCTCTCTCTCTCTCTCTCTCTCTCACTTTCTTCATCTTCGTTTCCTCTCATCGCCGCCGTGAAGACCGACCAGCTGCCGCCGGAGCTGCCGTTCGCTGGAGCTGCTGGTCGCCGGCGCCGTCTAGTCTCACCACCACCACCCTCAACCCGTCCCCCTACCTCTTTCTCTCTCTCCCTTGTTTTCTCTCTCGCGGCCAAAGGAACGCCGTAGAAAGCCGCCGCCACGCCGAAGCTCGAACAGCCGAGCTACTGCCGCCGTGACCCTCAAGCCGCCCCGTACGGTGTCCGTACGCCACGTCCGTACGTCGCCGTCCGTACGCTGCCGCCGTCGCTGCTACTGTTCCGGCCACCACCCAGCCCTGTTTGTCTCGCCTTTTAGTGTAAGTGTCTTCCCCAAAAACTACCTAGGACTTCGGGTATCGTAGGACATGTTTAGTGTTCGGTTTAGGTGTTTATGTGGCTGTTTTGGGGGCTGAGATGAAGGCTGGTATTTGGTTGTTGTGGGCTGATTTGGAGACTGATTTGGCTAAGAAATTTGTGAGGATTTGGAGGCTCGATGATGGCTGTGATGTGTGGAGCGATCGCGGTTAATTTGTGTAATTGATTGGAATTATTGTGGCTTGAATGGGCTGATAGGAATGTTTGTGCTCGTTGTGTTTGTGGACTGATTTGGAATGTGTTCTGGACTGATTGTGGATTGGTGGTGTGCCGTGTACGTATGGCCGTGAGGTGTGGTGGCGTGGTAATGTGAATGCGCATTGAGTTTGTATGCTAAATATGTGTGATCGGGTAGTGTGTTCGTGTGATGAAGACGTGAATTGTGAAATGTGTGTGAAAGGTGTATGTTTGGTCGTGCGGTTATTGGCCATGTGTAGAGTGGTTTGAGTGGAACGAGGGTATGGAAATGTAGGATTTGTTGTAAAGGATCCGTCCTGAGGCGTGTACGTTTACGCGGGACGATGCCGTCCCTGACGAGGTGACGATGCCCGGCCCGACGGAGTGTCGATGCCTGACGAGGTTAGAAGATCGTTGGCCTGATGAGTTTTACGCGGGCGCGGTAGTGGTGGAAAAGTTGAGAATGAGCGGGAATTGGCTTGAGGTGCGAGGTTTGCGAAAGTGATGCATGGTGTGAGTCAGTGTGCGAGTGTGTTTGTATCGCATGATGTGATGCTTAATTATGGGGTAAAAACTGCTAGGCACGGTATGAGACGTGCCCAAGTGGGTTTAATCTTATAATTGAGGCACGTACGCGTCTGTGATTCATTGCTGTGTTATTGTCTAACGTGCAGGGACGTGCATGATGGATTCCGGGTAGGGTCGTGTGTGGTTGTTAGTTTGGTTGATTGTCGTGTGTTACGCGTGTTTTCGTCTGGCGGTACGTGAGTGCCTACGTGAGGTTTGGGGTTGTACACTTATTGAGATTCGTCTCATGGTTGTATAACCACCACTTTTAGACCCGCAGCCGTAAACCCAGGGAGCCCGCTTCCTCTTTTTGAAGTACGAAGAGCAGCCATGATGCCCGGTGGATTCGCAGGCGATGCCCAAGAGATTTCCGGAGGATCAAGCCAGATGAATTAGGAGCAAAATGGAGAAGGGCGACCCTTAGTTTTTTTCCCTAGGGTATTTTAGGGGTTGTGTAGTTTTGGGTAGACCTATAGTGAAGTTAGGTTAACCAGACCCCTAATATTTTTATTAAGTCGGTGGCTGAGGATGTTCGTCTGTATTTATATCTGTAATAAAATGTTTGTATATTTGGTGTTGTATGATTATATTGTTGTTTGATCGTTATGGTGTTCTACCCTGTTGTCGTCATCTTTTTGTCTGGGGTTTTTCATAGCCGTTTTCGCATGTGGCTCTGATGTTTGGGTTGGGTCGGCGACGTTCCTAGGACGTCGCATCATATCGACCGCTTCATGGGATGCTCGCGCTTCGTGGGGTGCGGGGCGTGACAGACCAAGACAAGGTTGTTCCTTGCATCTTCAAGCCGTTGAACGAATCTCTGTCATGGTGTATCGCTATCAGATAGTTTCTCATACAAGGCCTTGATTGACAATTGGACAGTTTCTGAGTTTTAGATGAACTATGGGATCTTTGAGATTTAGTGAGAAGTAGCTAAACTGTCAAGGTTAAAGAGTGAATGTGTGAAGCGGATTAGTTCAAGGCAATGGAGTGTAGAATAAATTGAAGGCGAATTAAGTTTCTTATATCAGCAACTCTAAATTGGCAAGGAGTTGATTGAATTGAGAAAAGCAAAATCAACTTATTGGTGTAAGGGCAAGATCCTCGCCCTAATTGGTCTGTCTTTGAGCTTCTTATCTCGGTGTACTCATTACTTTCAATATTGTCTTTTGGCTTCAAACATCTCAATCTGACTAACCAATGCTGTATGCATAGCTATATCATTATTATGGTTCGGTTTTCTGCCAAAAACATAAAAATTTAATGGCAATATTTTTAGTTTCTACGTTGGTTCTTTTGCCATTAATGTCATGGGAGACATTTCCTTTTCCCAAAATTGCTCATGCCTCCCATGCTTCATACTAATATTGTCATTTCTTTGCTACGGGTGCGTCTGTTGATGAGAAATCTATCATTTAATCTGACAAGCCTTCAATAATGCCGTACTTGGTGCATCTTTTCTTGGCAGGCGAACAAAATAAATAGTCCACCTTTTCTTCATCAAAGTTCTGTTTGCTTGGAGATACTTGCTATCCCTTCAAATATATCGATAAAAATCTTTCTATCAACTTCATTACTTGATGCATCTTCTAGGGAAATCTCCAATTTTCTAAAAGTTTGTTCACCTCTATGAAATGCAATAGAGACATAGGTGGCTGTGACAATAGCCTTCGGTAACGCCGTAGCTCTCTTTACAATACTTGATTCACTAGAAAGTATTGTTTGTGTA